AAAAGTTACACACACTTGCCAAGTTAATCATTTTGGCTCAGCAGAGTCAATGAAAGTTGCTTGAGCTCAAGAAATATTCCATTCGTCCATGCTAAAGTATAATTTAAAAACCTTGCAAATGATGACTCAAGTTTATTTTCTAATGTTGTTAATAGTAAACTGTATGGTGATTATATTATCAAAAAGCTAGAAAATAAAGCTGACCATTATAAAAAAAGAGAAGTCTCTCCCTCGCCGTAAATAATAAAGATTTCAAAGACTGATTCGCTAAAAAATATCTGGAAAAAGAAGGCTAAACAATAAATCTACTAACACATTGCAGACGTTTGTTAGAATGGCAATAAGACAAAGTAAAAATAGTATAATAAATAATACTTAATATGAGAAAAAGTGTAATAGCTGTACTTTACCATTATACAAATTTTCCATATGAAGTCAATCGTCATCAATTTTGTTTCAAAGCAAAAAACAGCTAACGCGAATAGAAATCAGATAAATTTACGGGTATAGACAAGCTATAGAAAAAATTAATTTTCCTGTGCAAATTATTGAGGAAATTAAACCTTTTTTTCAAGAGTTGTCAAACCCTGAAATGCTAAGAAATTGTTTACATGGAATGACAAAAAACTGTAATAAATCTTTTAAAGCTACTTTTACTGAAAGAAAACTTTTTAAAACATCTGTTTATTCTTTTATATTAAATTACAATGACGATTTTCTTCTTTAAGTTACATTTTTAAAATGCTAACGTTTGCTGGAGGTGCTTATTTTAAAAAAGGAGCTTTCAAAAAAGATAAAAAGTGATAATCAAATATGTCAAGAAAATCAAGGCAAAATTTAATCTATTTAAAGTATAAAGAAAAATAAAAGTAAATTAATTGTAATTTGATATATTTAAAACAAATTATTAATTTTTTAAAATAGAAAAATTTTTAAAACAAAGTTACAATTTCCAAAATAAAAATTAATATATTCTGTAGAGTTTAATTGATAGTATCAATAGAAGAAAATTACCAAAAATGCAAAATAAATAAAAACAACAACAGTTAATTATAGTTAATTCATTGAAGCCATCATTGAACGATATCGATATTAGAGGATGTTCTCTTTAATTGGTCAGAAGAATGCCTAATTACGCTTCCAATAAGTTGCATGGAATCCATTTTAATTAAGTTTTTATTTGACTTTAAAGTAGGGTTGTTCGCCGAAAAACAAAACTTGCGAAAATTTCGCATCTTTATCTACGGTAATAGAATTGTTATTGCGGAAGTTGCACATGCAAAAATGCACATTCCGTAACGCGCTATACGAAAATATAAATAAATAAAATTCCGTAATAAAGCATTGCGAAAGAAAACTTGCGAAACAAATCATTTCTTCAAATGTTTATACAAATATACCTAATATATATATATATATATATATATATATATATATATATATATATATATATATATATATATATATATATATATATATATATATATATAAATATATATATATATATATATATATATATATATATATATATATATATATATATATATATAAATATATACATATATATACAGTAAAATCCAGTTTAGTTGGACTCTCAATGAACAGATAAACAGTATGCCTTTCTTTTTAAAAAGTATAAAGAGGATGTGTGATAAACAATTAAATACTTTATTAGAAAGAACGAGAGATCTCTCTAAAGGTAAATGATATTAGAAAGAGTAAAAAGAGAAGAAATATATGTAAAATAGCGGGATGTGAACCTGGGTCTCCGCGGCAAAATGTCTTAACTAAATGAGCTATACGTTCATTCAACTAAGTGAATTATAATATTTATTTATTATATAATTAAGAAACTATATAAAACAGAATTTACAGAAAGAGATACGTATGCAAATAGGATTCTATATATCAGGAAAATAAACAGTAATGTGAACCTTTAACTAAGTAAAACTAGTTACTTTTAATGGAACACAATAGGCTTTAGGAGCCTCAGGGAAATTATATTCAGAAATGATTATATTAGACTCAGAGTTAGCTAGAAATTATTACAAAGTGTTTAGGACAGATGTCTAGTACAAAAAGCACAAGATTTAAAGCAAAATGATTTATATTATTTGAAAAAGTTGTTTTACGTACATTTCATCATAATTTAAGTAGAACTTAGTAAAGCAAGGGAAAAGTGTACAATTAAGCACAATGAACTCAATCTCAATCTTAACTAACAGAAGAGAGGTTGTCACTATTATGAAGGTGACGAAAGATCTGTAATATAGAACATGGAGGTCAAAAAATCTTAAGTAAAAAGAGTTTGATGAACAAAAGTTACAATGGCTGCGGGATGCGAACCCGGATCTCTGCGGCGAATTATCACGTATCTAACTGATTGAACTATACTGATTGATCTTATACTTAAATTTACATCTTATTAAAATTAAAAAACAATATTTTCGAAGATCTATACTTCGAAAAGCGTATTCAAACTATACCTTTAAAATCTGCTAGAACTTTAGTAACGTGCACACTTTTAGAAATTATTGAAATAGGTTTATTTTATCAGAAATATGCTTAAGCTAAAGCATATTTTTGAGCCTCTTTTTACTATTTGCTTAAGCATATTCGAACCTGTTTCAAAAATTTCATATGCTTTAAAAAAAAAAAAACATGTATATTTCTACCCATCATTCTTATTTTTAATATACGTAATGAATTCAAAAAACATCGTTATACATATTTATTATGGCACGTTTCGTAAGTTTATTTCCGTTAAGAATTCTTTCGTATGTTGTGATCCGAAATACTTTCGTTTCGAAAGAAATTTTATTTTTTATCAATATTTTTAAAAATAAAACCATAAAAATTTAATATGTTATTATACTGAAAATAAAAATTCATTATAAACATTTTGGGATTTAAAGATGTTAATTTTTACAATTAAAATCAGTCTGGCAAACAAATTTTCTTTATAGACTTCAAAACGTCGTTTGGCGAAAATGTTTGTTTCGCAAGTGCGACTTTCGTATGTTGCAAAATAGTTTTGTTTGAACCGCTACTTTCGTATGTTGCAAAATAGTTTTGTTTCGTATGTCAACTTGCGAAATGCTAAATTTCGGAAGTGGCTTTTGCGAAATGAACATCGGCGATTTTAAATGTTTTGTAACATTCGGTACGAAAAAATGTAATTCCTTGTTCTCAATCTCCTTACGAAAGAGTGTTGTTTTTCCGGAATTGCACGAAATCCTCCGGTTAACAACCCTACTTTAAAGCAGCTTCTAATAAAAAAACAACTCATAGTTCAATCAGATCATAAAATAAAATACATGTCATGTTCAATAGCCAAAGAAATTTAAAAAAAAATAATTTTTTTCTAAATAAAAATATTGGGGCTTAATGATAAGACTAAATTTGTCTTCTTCTTGCCCCGGTCATGTAATTTATTTATTTACACTTTTGTAGAAAAAAAAAATTTACTGCCGTAAGTTTTTTTTTATCTGCAAAAGTGTAAATAAACAAATAAAACATCGTTTTTAATTTTAAAGGTTAATCAAACGCATTTAAACATCACTTTTAATTTTAAAGGTTAAACAAACACATTAATAAACTAATGAGAATAGCAGTGATAGCGTTACATAGACTTGTCAACTTTGAAAACATTTTTTTCTTCTTTATTCATATTGTATCTGACAAAATAATGTCTGTTGTCAGTCTACATTTATAAAAAAGATGATAAATGTCATACTGTCAAACATTAATGTTAAAATTCAAACTTTTTTTTGAATAATAAAAAATTACAATATTTATTATAATTAGCAAAACCTTTTAAATTGTATCAACTGGATTTTTAACACCAATTAATAATAACTGTTTTACCTGAAAGGAAACAATGCAATAAACATTGAAAGTGTTCATGACAGTTAAAAAAAAAAAATTTGTAATAATATTTAACATATACGGGATCGTTCATAAATTACGCAACGCTAAATTTTTTTTAAAAAAAAGGAGTAAGAGATCTTAAGCTCTTTTAAGGACTATGAAGGTCTGGTTGAGAAACTGATTATCAGTTTTAGAAACTGGGGTGCAATATGAGTGTAAAAGTTCACTTCATTCACAGTTACCTTCCCTATTTTCCAGAAAATCTTTTTATTTCTGAAAAATATGGAAAGTTTTTCAGAAAATCAAGTTTTAAACAAGGAACAAGGTGAGCTCATTCATCAAGATATCAAAACTATGGATATGCACTACCAAGGAAGATGAAATACTAATATGATGAGCGATTACTGCTTGTCTTTGAAGAGTGATGTTCAGGTTATTAAAAATGTTTGAAAATCAGAAAAAACGCAGCTTTTTTGCTACTTGAATGTACTTTATTCTGTAAATTAAAACTTACTGATGTTTGTCTTACATATAGCTTTGTAAAAAATTTGTTTTTTCTATCTTTGTCTTTGATGTTGTAAGGAAGGGCGGCAATTATCCCTATACCCTTCCCTCCTCCGGGTCTAACTCAAAAATGTATGGTATACTAATTAAAATGTATTGTAGACTAATTAAATTCAATTTTTCGTAAAAACCAGACGCTTAATAAGAAAGGGTTATTATTTTGACTTCAGCATTGAATTATATAAAATATAGTCTCTGTTTGTGATTAACGAAAAAAAAAAATAATAATAATAATTTGCATAGTAGTGTAGTAGTATGTTTATGTATTTACATGTATGCAGAGTTGTTAGTCCTTGGCCGTGACCTTAACCTGGTTTTAAGGCCGAAAAATTAGGACCATGGCCTTGGCTTTGAAACTTTTTACCTTGGCCTTAAATTTTTGGCCTTGACATTGATTGTTTTGGCCTTAGACTTTATAATAAAATACATAAAATTAAAGAATTAAAAGTTTTCATTCTTTATTTTACATAGTTAATTACGTAGTTAATTATTCTTTATTTAACGTAATTACTTTTTTAACGTATGGAAAAAATTTAAGTCTCTGGCCTTGAAAGTGTTTGCGTAGGCATTGGCCTTGAAACTCTATATCTTGGCCTTGTAACATGTGGCCTTGGCCTTGTAACATGTAGTCTTGGCCTTGCTACTTTTGGTCTTATTAACAACGCTGCAGGTATGTATAGTAGTGTGGAGAGTGCCCAATAATGTTACTGCAAATTATTATTATTATTATTATTTGCGTTAATGTAATTACGGTAACGAGGAGCAGCACAAATAGCAAAGCTTAGCGGTTTTTTGTTTTCAAAAACACATGGAATCAAAAAACAATAATAATATATTAAATGTCTTAAATTATAAGCAAATAGTTTAATATTTGTAAATCATTAAGTTTAAAGTAAATGCATGTTTAATATCAGAGTATTTTTTTGTGATTACTTTTAAATATCAATTTTTCTCATAAATTTTAAAACAAGTTTTATGATAATGAATAAAGAATTCAGATATGAATGAATTAATATTATTTATAGTTATATACTATCTGATATTTATTTCTATTTTTTTTTTAAGATATTTTTTAAGTATCAAATTGTAAGTATGTTTAGCAAGTTAAAAAAATATATATTTTTTTATATTTCATGTATTTTCCAAGTATTTTTATTAATTTTTAGTTATTCCGTATATTCAAAATGTTTTCCATACATACAAATTTAGATGTCTATTTTTGTAATATATTTGTTTTTTAAGGTTTTCCACTCATTTTTTATACAAAAATTGTTAAAAGTTTAGAAAAAAAATTTAAAAGAAGTCAGCTAAAATATATATATACTCACTCCAATGCGAGTTAGGCTATAAGATAGTTGATGTAGCAAAACCCCCTGGCAAAAATATAATTATTTTAGGCCGCGTAACTGTAGCTTTACCATATATATATATATATATATATATATATATATATATATATATATATATATATATATATATATATATATATATATATATATATATATATGTATATATATACATATATAAGTATATATATATATATATATATATATATATATATATATATATATATATATATATATATATATATATATATATATTTATGATTTAATATATATATATATATATATATATATATATATATATATATATATATATATATATATATATATATATATATATATATATATATATATATATATATATATATATATATATATATAGGTAATCCTACAATTACGCAGCCTAAAATAATTATATTTTTGCCAGGGGGTTTTGCTACATCGATATAATAAAAGAAAAAAGATTGCTTTCCCATGCGAAACCCTCAGTCGATGTAGCTGCACTTCTTTGTAGCAGCAGGCTATAAGATAGTCAATGTAGTAGCACTCCGTTGGAGTTGATGTTGGAGTGGAGGAGATAAGATAGTTGATGTAGCAAAACCCCCTGGCAAAAGTATAATTATTTTGGACCGCGTAACTGTAGCTTTACCATATATATATATATATATATATATATATATATATATATATATATATATATATATATATATATATATATATATATATATATATATATATATATATATATATATATATATATATATAAATATATATATATATATATATATATATATATATATATTATATATATATATATATATATATATATATATATATATATATATATACATATAAAAGTATATATATTACCCAGGCCCAGATTTACCCCATTTGGGGCCCTAGGCAGATTCAAATTTTGGGCACCCTAAAATGATATATTAATCCTTTTTTCAAGAATCAAGGACTTCACTCAATCAAATTTAAAAAAAGGACTTCGGTATGTGAAAATATGATTTATTTTCAAATTTTACATTAACTTTTTTATACACTTTTCCTTAGCAAATACTTCAATCTATTCCTCAAAATTATTTTTTTTCATCAAATCTACATCAAATCTACTTGATAGCAATGAAAAACTATTTAATGTATTTTGTATCATGGTTGATCTTAAATAATTTTTCGTAAGTCTTAATTTTGAAAAATTTCATTCTCCAGAACAGTTAGTGAGCATCAAACATAAATAGATTCTTAAAATTGTTTCGGAATTTGGAAACACAATTTCCATTTTTTTTCTTTAATAATTTTATATAATGATAAATGACTTATAGGTAAATCTTCACTTTTGCAGATTAACTTAATATAATTATGTAAATGAATTAGTTCATTATACAAAGTTTCATTGATGTCTTCAATACAGTGAAGACATCGATGTCTTCATAATTTTTTGGACGTTAGTCTTTAAATCCTCATGTGATATGTTTAAAGGCGAGTTTCCACTCATCCGTTTTTCAACGTGAACGGGATAGGAAAGGAAAAAATAATCACGTGAGCATGCGTAATAAAAGTTTTAATTTGTCTGAAAGAAAACTGTGGATGCTCGCGTGATTATTTTTCCGTTCCCTTTCCCGTAGAAAAACGGATGAGTGGAAACTCACCTTAAATTTGTCAAAAATCCAAATAGTGCGAAAATATCCTGATAAGCTTTAGCCTGTTCCTTTAAATTTGCACTGAGTATTTTCAAACTTTTCTCAAATATATTTGTTTGAAATGCTTCTTTAGGAGTCAATTTGGTTTGTGGTGTTTGAGATTCATCTGGAAATCTTTTGTTTGTTTGTTGCCTTTTGATTGTGTAGTCGGTGTCTGGAAGCAACTTTTTCGCCTCTCTTCAATGACATTATAATTGCCAACTAATTTATCAAAAAAATTACCAAGAGATGAGTATAAATTTTAATTTCACAAATTATGAATAAACAAGGAAGTGATGTATGTTTTCACTAAAAAATTACTAAAGTAACTTTTAAGAGATAGCGCCCAAGAATTGGGGGCCCCCAAAATCTTGGGGCCCTAGCAGTGTCTAGTCTGCCTATAGGTAAATCTGGGCCTGATATTACCGGTACCTGGTAATTTGGCTGTTTTCCTGAGTAACGGGAATTGGCTAATTTGTTGCAGTACCTGGCACCAATTTTTTTGAAAGAAATTTTTTGTAAACATTAACCTTAAGTGCTGTTACTATTTGTTTAAATGGTACTTTAAATTGAGTAGAAATACTATTAACAGGATTGCTTTTTGTTTAAACTTCAACTAATAATATTCTTGATATTAGTCAAAGTGTGTAAGTCTATGTAGTCAATAATCACAAAGCTCTATTTACTCAATAAACATGTGTCTCACTTAAATTATTTTTTAAAATACATTTTAAAAAAATAAATGGAATATATTACAAAAAGGAAACTGATTTATATGGATGTCTGAATAGCCTTTTTTTATTGCATGAGGGAATTTTTTCACAAGAAAATTTTTAGTAATTAAACTTTCAAATACTTAATACTAAAGTTATTTGATAACAATTTGCTCCATAATTTATATTTTTAACTTATAGCTTGTTTGACTTCTTTATCAATCCATGGTTTTATACAAGATCCTTTTATTTCTTTTTTAGGTATATATTTTATATATATATGCTTCATTGTATATGTTAGTAATTGTTTAATAACATTCATGTAAGTCATTGTTAATGAATATATCAGGCCAAATAATTTTCTCAAAGTAATGTTCCAACTAAACATATTTTTTCTATCTTATAATTAAATAACAATTTACCATAATTTGATTTTGATATTTTACTCTGATTGTTTAATAAATATTTAAAATGTGCACATGATGTGCTGTATCTTATTGATACCTATAGGTGGGTGATGAATTATATTTGTTATATGTTCAGGGTGTTCAGAAAAAAACAGTCATATTACCGGTTATATGATTTTCAGAATTAAATGTTGGCTATGTAACATTTTAAATCAAATATACTTTACTCAGTGCTTCTTTAAACTTTTAGGTTGTTGTTAGGGTTTTGATATTTCAATTTTTTTGAATTTTTTTCTATTTTTTTCAATTATTACTAGAATAACCTTCAATTAATACTAGAATAATTAAAATCTAATACATTCTAATCTAATGTTATTTAAACATTTAAAATAAGACACAGTAAATAAGTGTTGTTAAAATTTTTTTTTATTTGTTTTAAATTTTTTAATTTTATTCATACTACAGACAAGAAAGTTTTTTTTTGCAATTGTCTCTTAATCTTTTACTTTAAATAACTTTTGATTAATTAGCGCATATTAGCATTTATTTAGCGATAAATTACAAAAAAAGTTATTTTATATAACACCACAATTATACACAGTATTTTTAGAAGTTGATAGAGTTAAATTTAATTTTGAAGCTCTTTATGTTTTAAGCAACAAGGACGTCAGGCGGTGAGTTATCCTAAATATTAACACAAACACACAATTAGTTAGCATAAACAGTATTTTTTAAAGTTAATAGAGTTAATTTTAATTTTGAAGCTCTTAATGTTTTAGGCATTAATGACGTCAGACAAAAAGTTATTCCAAATATTAACACACATTTAAATACATAACTATTACATACTGTCTAGTTTTTTTGTTTTATCTCTTGAAGTTTTATTTAATTCATAGCGTCATAGCAATATTAATACATAATTAAACTTTTTGTTATGTGTTATTTTTTTATTTGTTTGTTTTTTGCTTGTGATTTTCATAAATAATTTAAACAGGGTTGTTCCTAAGGCTCTTGGGCCAAAATTAAATTTTACAGTCCAAAATTCAAGTGTCATCTATACAATCAATTTGCAAATGTGATAGTATAAACTTTTTTAAATTTAGCAAGAATTTAGCAACAATTTAGTGGATCCCTGAATCATTAGGGCCAGGGAAAAATGTTCAATAAAAGAAGAAAAAAGCAAAGAATAATAAAGTAGAAGATAACTGTTCCAGTCCAAAGCCTTAGTTGATGTAGTAGCACTCCTTGCATGTTTTACCAATTTAGTCAGTCAATGAATGTATTGAAACCTTTGTCTGCACGCTATTTCAGCATGATGCCAGATAAATTATTTAAACGTACAATATAAGTTATATATATATATATATATATATATATATATATATATATATATATATATATATATATATATATATATATATATATATATTGTATGTACATCTGTATATGTATGTATGTATGTATGTATGTATGTATGTATGTATGTATGTATGTATGTATGTATGTATGTATGTATGTATGAAATCACATTGATTTTTCATTTATAAGGATTTTTTATTATTAGCACCTATATATAAATTAGGTGATTTTTTATTTTAAACTATTGATTTTTAAAGTTCATTGGTATTTATTTAAATATTGTTTCATATATGTACTTATTCATTTTTAGTTTTAATGGCTGATGATTCTAAAATAAATACAATTCCGATTAGTTCAATCTTTTCTGATGATCTCCAGGATCAAGTTAGAGAGATTGGCGAAAATGCAGTGTGGTCTTTATCTTCATGTAAACCAGGTTTTGGTGTATCTGAACTACGTGATAATAAATTAACAACTTATTTTCAATCAGACGGACCTCAACCACACCTCATAAACATTCAGTTTCCATGGAAACAAGCAGTAAGGTTTGTATCAATATACACCGATTATAAATCAGATGAAAGTTATACTCCAAATAGAATTTCTATTCGTGTTGGAAATGATAAGCATGACTTGAAACAAAAAGAGCTTCTAGAACTAGATGAGCCTTGTGGGTGGATAAATGTCGAATTGGATAACAATGGAAACACTCTTAAGACATTTATGATTCAAATTGCGGTTTTAGGAAACCATCAAAATGGAAGAGATACACATTTAAGACAAATAAAAGTTTTTGCTCCAAAAGTCAATTCAACAAGTTATAAAATACCATCTATTGAACAGCTGAATGATCCTGTTTTAACTGAGTTAAGTTGCATAAGATGACAACACTATATAAAATAAAAAATCCGTTATCAACATAAATAAATTAATTAGATAAACCAAAGAGGGACCATATAATATAATTTGTTAATAATTTTTCAAGTTAAATTATTGTTATTTGTTACATAGTGTTAGTTTTACTCAATTAAAAAGAGTAACAAAAATTTATTTATCAGTTAATTAATTTGTCAGTTAGTTTTTAAACATTTTTGTATAAATTCAGTATAAATAAAAAAGTATAAATTCAGGTAATGATTATAAATTAATTCAGGCTTTTATCAGGGGCAAGTTTGATCTTACTCTTGCTTGGTATCATTATTCTAAATACACAGTTTTATTGAGAAATGATTAATTTTTATGTTAAATAATTTTATTATTTCAAGAAAAGATCCACTTTTTTTGATTGTCATGGCTACTACATAAAAAATGATTGTTCAATTAGGTGAAATACAAACATGAATTAACTTTAGTTATCTAAACATAAACTTAACTTTAAGTATTTGTAATTAATGAAATATAAAAAAAAAATAATGAAATCACAAATTAATATAATTTTTTAGAAGTAATTTATCATTACATCTATTCTATTATTTTAGGTGTGTGTATATATATATATATATATATATATATATATATATATATATATATATATATATATATATATATATATATATATATATATATATATAAATATATATATATATATATATATATATATATATATATATATATATATATATATTCATATATATATTCATATATATATTCATATATATATTCATATATACAATTTAGGAGGTTACTTATTATGGTTACAACCCTCTCTAAACTTTTTAACTCCAAAACACAAACTTTGGTGAAAAAGGCCATTGCATAAAGAAAAAAGTGGATATTAATATCTTCTATAGCATATATAAATAACAAATTGTTATTAGTTTTTCCTACCTTTAAAGCATATGGTTTTTTCAAAAAAAGAAGAAAAAACAATGACTAATGAAAGAAAAGATTACTGCCTAATGCCAAACCCTCAATCAATGTAGTGGCACTCCTTTTTTGCACCAGGCTTTAAGATTGTCAATGTATGTACTGAAGCCTCTGGCAGCAGGTTATTTCAGTGTGATATCATAGATCTTATCTAAATATGCATTCATATTTTTTAATTTTATTTACCTTTCTAAAGCTGAAAAGGCCACTACAGTTGAGAATTTTGTTGTAGTCACAAACCTCTTTTAACTCTTTAACTCTGAAATGCGAACCTTATAAAACAAGGCCACTGTGTAGAGAAACAAGTTAGGCATGGTACTACCAGGGGTAAGGCAGGGATCAAACTCAGAACTTCTTGCTTATGAAGTAAGCACTATACCACTAGATCATAATTGTGGGTATTATAAATAGAACTAGCATTTAGATGTCTATATATTTGTATTTGATGGTAGTATTTTTTGTATCTAGTACAAATACTTGTTTGACTTTAGTAAAAATCTAGTACAATTACTTGTTTGACTCATTTGTAAATCCATACAAGGTTTATAAATGTTAATTATGTTTCTTTATAAAACTTTTCATGTGTTTTTTTTTCAAGAATTTATAATTACACATTTTCATGGTTTATTTATAAAACATTATTTGTGGAATGGCTTGTGCTGTAGAAAATGAGATTTCAGAAGAACTAAAAAGTATTAAAATTGATGAAAAGCATGAAATGCCTTGTATTCTGGTTCTGGGTATGGCTGGTTCAGGAAAAACAACATTTGTGCAGGTCGATTACTTATTTGTTTTTTTCTTTTGAAAAGCAATTGTTAAATTTAAATGTTAAATTATTTGAAAATATTTGCAAATTTACTCATTAGTGTAAATTGGAACAGCAAGTTGCAAATTGAGAATAACAAAGTTGTTTATGCTATTTAATTTTGTCAAATTTACTTACAAAAATTAGGCAATCATTTTTGCTATATTTAAAGAAATTAAAAACCTTGACCAAATTTTTGGCACTGGGATGTTAAAACAAAATAATAGTGATTTAAAAAGTATCCTACAATGTTTTTTCATTTGTGAATATTGTAAATCCAAAAATAATGTAACCTGTGTTTAAATTTACATCTTAAAGATGCCATTAAAAAAATCAGTTTTATTTAGCTAAACGATAAACTTAATAATTTAGCCTTATAAGTTATAACTTTACTTTTAACTTCTGGTTGTATATTTTTTAATAATTTATTGTTTTGTTTCATTTTAATGATTATTTTTATTATTTGACAAATGTAGCATTTATTATGAATACAATTGAATAAAGATAGCTTATGTAAAAAATATGTATAATGAAGTTGAAAAATTGAGTCAGGTGGTGCTAAGCAAAAGCATATAAAGGTGAAGATAGAATTAAAACCTGATTTAAATACATGGGTGCTGCAATATATTGTGCTCTTAAATACACTAGAAGAAGAAACTCTAACATTAATGTTAGGCTGTAGTAGGAATTGACCAGGGCCCTGGCTAAAAATGAGACTTTTTGCAAACCTGACCCTGGCAAAGTTATAAGATTTAGCAGGGGCTAGAAAAAATTTTCTAATAGCTTATATATTATAATTTTATACTTATATTTACTATTTATTAAATACTGGCATATATTTATATCAGGCCTTGTTTTAAATAAAAAAGTGCTTAATGCATTAGCTTAATGTGATATTTGATGTCATGAAACTATCTTTCTAAAAGTTTGTTATGTTTTCAATTGTTATTTTAATATTAATTTTAGTTCAATATTTATTTGTAAAAAAAATATATATATGTATTTAAATTATTTTCAAAAATTGTTTTTGAATAATTATTGTTTTTAAATCGGTATAGTGATTTTTTATTTTTAAAAATTTCGGGATTAAACAAAAAAAAAATTAACATATTGATAAACAAAAACCCTTGTTAATTATTTAAACAGCAATTTTGTTTTGACTAGCAAAGAATAATTTAGGTTTTTAAGTATTTTTTAAATTTATGTTGCTTAGCGTTTAAACTGCGTTGTATAATATAAAAAAGTATCGTGTCTACTTGGGCATATTTTTAATATGTAATTCAGAACGCGTTCGCCAGGATCTTAATTCATAAACGTTTTACGTTATCTTAAAAATGTTTTACTTTGTAAACAAATCACAAAGAAACACAGAACTATAGAGAAAAATCGTTTTTAATGATTAATTTTTTTTGAATTTTATAAAATAAAATAAAATAAAAATAAAATTAAATTAAATTTAAGTCTTAATTATGCAAACTCATTCGTTAACTTTTTTTTTAAAATATTAGGGACCTGTCTGATGTTTAAAGGTCTTGAGCGACCCCTAAAAAAATTTTTTATTTAAATTTTTTTTAAATTAGTATTAATTTATCACATAGAACACATTTAGGGGGTGGCAGCAGACTATTTTATAAAAAAGTGTTTTTCTTGGCACCCTATTATATACATTTATATTATATTACATATATATATATATATATATATATATATATATATATATATATATATATATATATATATATATATATATATATATATATATATATATAATATATATATATATATATATATATATATATATATATATATATATATATATATATATATATATATATATATTTAAACTCTTATTTACTTCCAACAAGTTTGCAAGCAATCACTATTAAGTTATGAGTTACTTTAAAATAGAGGATAGGATTAAAAAGCTCTTACAACAATGGAAGAGTGCTCAAGCTTGGTAGATAAAGCAGGTCTAATTACATTTACTTCTAGGTTTTGTCTAAGATTAAGAGGGTTGTTATTCGTCAATATAAGAATGCCAACAATATTGCAATATTTTTTGGCAATAAATAAATGAGTTTTGCTGTCCAACAAAAATTGTGGGTTTTAAAGTCCAAACCTAAAATCCACAAGCCACTGCAAGCCTTAGGCTGTTACTGAAGTGAGATAAGATTTAAAATCGGCTGCTTGTTCTAAACAATCAAAAAGTAATTTTTTTTTTCAAAACAAGTATACAGTAGAGTTGTCAGTAAACAGACTCACTTTAGATTAAAATTTTCTGTAAGATTATTGCAGATAAGAAACAATACAAGTGCAAAAATAGAACCTTTTGGTACGCTTAAAGTTACTTGAAATTAAGGCCTCAAGAATAACTATAGTACTGCAGTTAGAAAGAAATGATTTGATAATCTCAAAAACTTAAAAAAAAATAAAACTATAAAGAAATTAATATAAGAGTGGATACTAAGTGTAGGATAGTTAAAGAGGTCAAAATGTATTCTAGAGTTGTTTTTTTTTTAGCACTTATTAATAGTTTAGCAAAAATTGAAAAAAGTTCTGGAGAACTTTTTTATAAGTCTATGATGGAAATCTTGTCTGAAGCACAAACTGTAGAAGTAATTAATTGAGAATTAACGTTAGCATTGGAAGCCAGAGTAATTTGTATGTTTAATAATGAGTTAATCTGTTAAACTGGTATGACAGGAAGAATATGGCGATTAAATTCAAGAGTCAAGTTAGAAAAAAATTAGAATCACACTTTATGGTAATACATTACAATCCCCATTTTGCTGCTAGATTAATTCCTTTTATTATCACAGCTTCTAACTCTGCAAGATTAATATGAACTGAATTGTCTTGTTTCCTCAGCTATGAACAGTCTTCTACTTTTTCCCCAGCCACTTCCAAAACTATAGCAACAGCTAAACTGCTTGCATCACACCACACTGTTGCTTCAGAAGTGTTTTTGATGTTCCATGACCCATTTTTTTTCATATTGCAGGCTTGGTAGGGAAGCGGGATCGATTGCTCTCAATTGTTGTTTAAAAAAATAATATTTAGTTGCAAAATTCTGGCCAGTTTTTTTTAGTCGTTTTGGAAACATTTCAAAAACAAAAAAAAGCGCACAAAAGATTAATTGGACCAATGAGAGACAATTACAAAAAAAAAAAAAAAAAAATTATATAGTAACATCTTACAATTGCTTAATAAGGAAATAAATGTTCTTTTATTTATCAAAGAGTATAATATAAATTTTATTTATATACTCATGTCTTATTTCCAGTGCTAGATTAAGGTGGGTTGGGGTTAGAGGGGACTATAGCCCTGGGCCCCTCAATGTTAGGGGCTCCAAAAAACTCAAGAAGGCCATGTTTTTTAGTCATTTTAACGCTGCGGCACATAAAAAGACCTCTGAAAAAAAATAGCCTCCGGCTCCGAAAAGTCTAACAAGATTCTAATAAAACTAATGCTAGTTTTAGTTGTATTTAAGCTAAATTATTTTATAAATTAAAAAGTTAATTTTTTTAATAACTATTTTATGCTTCGCGTAGATTGAAAAGTTCAACATATTTGAAACAATTCTTCTTAGTAAGATGAACAAATAAAATATTTAAATTATTGAGTTACAGTAGAAATTAAATTAACTAGATAGAAATCAACTAAAAAAGATTAAAATACTTTATGAAGAGGAAGCATAACGGCTTCACAATTAGTATCGCTGATTAGTATTTAAAACAGAAAAAAGTATAATGAGTTTGTAAGAATGGCAACTGAAGCGAAAATAATTAGAGTTAGTAAACCAATATCTAAAAACTTTTCTCTATATCTAATAAAAATTGCTTTAAAAGATTACATTAGAATAAAAAACAGATACACAAAATTACATTTACATAAAAAATACATACTTTTTAAATAAAAAATAAGAATATATTAATAAAATCTATAATTTATAATCAACTTTCAAAGTTTTGAGAGTTCAAAAGATATATATTATAAAACATTTATTTGTAAATAAATGTAAATAAAACATTTATTTATAAATTAAACAAATAAAACAAAGAATAATAGTTTAAAAGATTTACGGCTTTGCAGATGTGGCTCTGATAATGGCTCCGAGAATGAGCCATAATATAAAAGTAATAATTCGTTTGATAATATATTTTTAAGACAATTTATGCTAGAGGTCTCAAAACTTAACAAATCTTGAAAATACAATTTTTAAAACATTTCAACAGAATACTCTAGAACTTTATTTTATTTAGCGTATTTTTTTAACCATTAGGATTAATTTGTTTGTGAATTTGGCGAGTTTTTAGTGTTTGCAAGTATTCTTTTTATTCTTCTGTGCCAAGATATTTTGAGAACATTCAAGTTTATATATGTTTCCATGTATGGCCGTAAAACAAAAATTATTTGTTTTACGGACATATACATAAACTTAAATGTTCCTAAAATGACTAAAAAACCAGTTTTTTGCAACTAAATATTATTTCTATGGTCAGTATTTAATAACGATCGCTATCACTTCCCAGTCAAGCCTGCTATTGGAAAATGGCTGGTTAGATGTCTGCATCAAGAAAATATTTGCAGATATGTCCTTTTTCCTTCAGGAACTTTGGGTATTTTGTCACGTTTCCGACAGACTTGGTTGCATTGTTTGTACACTTGCAATCCAAGCACATAACCACCAACAAGTTTTTCTGGCAATTTGAATCTGAGCCATATTTTTCAAAATTTCTTGAACCCTGCAATTTGACACCATGTTGTTATTGACAATGATATCATCAATAAATAAATCTGTCCTAGACTCAACAACTTTGTCTAATGACAATACCTTTCTCAAGATTTTAGTGATTATTCTGGGAGCCACTACCAAAACCCAATCTTGTTAGACAGTAATGCTACCCTTCATATTCCACAACTTGATATTTCCATAATGCTTTGCCAGGGAATCCAAGAATAAATGCGCA